CAATTAGAATGCTGGATGGCATGAATTTATAGGTGCAACTGACATCTTATCATACACTGCTATGATAGGTCATGAGCTAAGGTGAAGCAATGCTGGGGGTAGTGGGAAAAGTTTTTCCCCTAAGCCAGTGTAAGCTGCTGCCCAGCTGATTATTTCTGTGCAAAATCCTGCAGTTTTCTTTCTAAGTGGGCATTGAATGTGCAGCTGGATGCTGGATGGCATGAATTTATAGGTGCAACTGACATCTTATCATACACTGCTATGATAGGTCATGAGCTAAGGTGAAGCAATGCTGGGGGTAGTGGGAAAAGTTTTTCCCCTAAGCCAGTGTAAGCTGCTGCCCAGCTGATTATTTCTGTGCAAAATCCTGCAGTTTTCTTTCTAAGTGGGCATTGAATGTGCAGCTGGGTCTGGTGCTGATCAAGATGCCTACTTTCTTTTGAGATTTGAGGTGAATGGTATAAGCTCATGCATGTTAAAGCCCCCCAGGTACTTCTGCAAGATTTAGGTCTGAGCTCCTGCACAGCTTATTATTTCTGTGCAAAAATCCTGCATTTTGGGAATGGATATAGGAGTCTTGGCCTGAAGTTCTGTAAGCTCCTTTCTCCATGCTGTGGTATCACATTGAGTGAGGTATTTCCAACATGCAGAGGAAAAATATTGAGAGGCTGCTTCTGGTTTGCTGTTGTACGGAGGTGCTTGGGCAAAGCTGTGCAAATGCTCCTTGGGCTGGCTAGTTTTGTCATGTGATGTTTCTAGAATATGGCATTGAGCCAGCAACTGTTCAAGTACCTGCTTTGTCACGTACTCTCAGCCAGATAAGGGTGTATTGCCTGGAGGGTTTGCCTCAGTTGGTCTGACTTTACTTTCACCACAGTTTTAAGTTGGCTCGTGCTCCTGATGATTTTGAGTGACCATCACACCAGTTCTGCAGTGAACACACTGTGGCCAGACCCAGAGACCTGGCCACATAGTATTTTCTGTACAGAAAGTCTAAATGCAATAGAAGTGGCAGGAGCACAGACTGCCCTAGTCACAGCATAGTCTCTGTGTGTTAGCTGTGTGCTGCTATAGCTAATGATGCTTCACGGACTACTTGGGAATTGTCATAGAATCATAGAATGGTCTGGGTTGGAAGGGACTTTAATGACCATCTAGTTCCAACCCCCTTGCCATAGGGACACTTTTCATTAGACTAGGTTGCTCCAAGACCTGTCCAACCTGACTTTGAACACTTCCAGGGATGGGGCAGCCATAGCTCCTCTGGGCAATCTGTGCCAATGCCTCACCACCCTCACAGGGAAGAATTTGAAGCCATTCCCCTTTGTCCTGTCACTCCAGACCCTGGTAAATAGTCTCTCTCAGTGACAGGAGGCTCTAGAGTAATACAAGCATACTGGTCAGAGAAGGCACAAAATAATGCTTTTCTTTCAAACACAGAAACTGGGAAAAGGGTGTGATTTCTCTCTCATTGTCTGTGTTCCCTTCAACCCAGGGAGGCTGTATGGAGCTGATGACTTCTTGCCTGTGTTGACATATGTGCTAGCCCAGTGTGATATGCTGGAACTGGATACTGAAATTGAATACATGATGGAGTTGCTGGATCCATCTTTGCTGCATGGAGAAGGTAATCTCTTTATTTATTTTTATTAGAATTGGGTGAAGGACTAGGGAAGGGGATTCTTCCTCATAGAGCCATTGCTGTTAACCTTGTTTGAGTAGGAATCCTTCTAAGGGGAAACCTAATGTAAGCAATATCAGTAGTGTAGAAAGAGAATCTCATAATCGTTTCCCCCTCAAAGGAAGAGAAGGCTGGTTAGCTTGCAGAGCACAGGCCCCAGAGATGTGGAAATCTATAGCTGTGTACTACCTTACAATACATTGTTTGCAGCCCAAAAGGTGGAGGCATCCTGACTTAGCAAGCAGACACATGCACTGTGCAGGTGCTAAATGCTGTTACCCTTCTGTGCCTGAAAATTTCCTGAGAATAATTACAGGGCAGCAGAATTCAGTTAAATTGTGAGGCATGTGGTGGGACTTGGGTTAGGTGCTTTGTAATAATTTCTGGGGGGCTTCTTTGTTCCTCAGAGAGAAGTGCTTTTGAGAATATTGATCTTTACTTCTTCCCAATATTTGCTTCTCATAAAGTATTTTTATTCCTCCAATTTGGCACTAGTCCGTTCCCCACCTTATGTACAAAGCATCCTTGAGTGCATTTTTCAGGAATCTTAGCATGGAAAATACTCAAGATGTGAAGCTGAAGATCATTAACATGCTTGAAAGGCAGAAACATTTGCTGGACTATAAAGTCATGCTGGTTTTAATGCAGCAGAAGATGTTTGTCCATTGGCTAGCCCTGTCTTTGGCACCAGCTGAACTTTACTGTGCAGGAAAAACTCCTTAGTGCTTTGGGGTTGTGCATTTCCACTGTAACATACTGTCCAATTTGTCTCATGGGTCTTGCATGTGTTTTATGTATTAATCTTGTTGCAAAGTTAAAGGCCAAGAGAGGATGCTGTCAGTAATACAGAAAATACTACTGTGGGCATAGAATGAGGCTTTGAATGCTTCTGTGAATAGACTGTGCGGCCCCTTACTTGGACGCTCCCACTCAAATAGTTTATTAAAAAAGAAAAAAAGACAGCATGTCTTTTGCTACTCCTGGTTGCTGAGGATTGTTACCTCCTGTTGAGACGACGACTTCTTTTGTCACCTACAGCTTCTTTTGAACATTGGCAACTCTGTTGTGGCTTTAATTTGTTCTCCACTCATGTAATAAAGGTGGAGTATGGAAGACTATACAATCGTCTCCTGAACTAGTTGGACATTATGGGGAATGCTAAGAAGGTGACAGATCAGTCTTCCTTTAAAAAACAAAGGCAACTCTTTGGGATGATTCCAGAGTACGAATCTCACACTCAGTTGTTGCTTTATTGACACTAAGGGTCATTGCTTTTAACTTGCTGACCAGTGGTAGATTGTATTTTACTTTGTTTAAACAGCTATGTTTATTTCATCCACATCTGAATCTTGGGAAGAAAATAAATAATTTTGAAAACTGTTTAGAAGAAAACTCATGTTTCAACTTGGTAAAAATGCTCAGGACTAAAGGAGTAACACCAGTCATTTAAATAACCAGCTATCCTCAGCACTTGTGGATGCAAAGATAGGCACAACTTGATAATATAGAGCACATGCAATCACTGCATGTCTCTTACGTGTGTGTATATATATATAGTGCCTGTACTTCTGACTGTGCATTCAGAGCTAGTGTGGTGTTTGTGACTATTCTGAAAAGTTCTTCCCTTGCTGTCCTTCACAGGAGGCTATTACTTGACAAGCGCTTATGGAGCACTTTCACTGATCAAGAATTTCCAGGAAGAACAAGCTGCCCAACTGCTAAGTTCAGAAGCCAGAGATACTCTCCGGCAGTGGCACAAGAGGAGGACAACTAACAGGACGATACCTTCAGTTGATGATTTTCAGGTAGAGCTTATGGCTGAAATAAAAAACGGGATGATTATTTTGTTTTATGATTCATAGTGTTTCCCTTGTGGTCACAAGTAGAGTGAAGCAGTGCTGAGATTATGGCTGCCACGTATCCTGCAATTTTGAAGTCTTTGCACTTTATCATAGAGTTTGATTATGATGGTCTAAAGAGAACATTAACTAATGGAGTTTTCTCATCCTCCCTTTTCCATTATGCAGAGCAAGGACAAACCAAATAATATCTTAGATTCAGCATCTTTGTATGCTTTATTGCTAAAAGGATTAAATCCAGGTTTCCAGTAGTATAAATCAGCCCAACTCCCCAGTAGCTAGTGGTGGCATACAGTGGGTAACAGGGAGGAGAGGTGGGAGAAAACTGCCTACAGCTCTAAAGTTTAAGCAAGGAGTAGAGTCCTATACTCTGGATGTCTTCATGTTTGTTTGTGGTTTTTTCTCCCCTCCCCTACATTTCGTATTGCTCTTCAGAGCAGAGCAGCACCTTCAACTGAAGAATAACAAACCAGTTGGGATTGCTTCATCTTTTGAAACCAGGCCTGCATGTCTTTCGTATGCTGTTGGCTGATTGTTCAGATGCAGCAGTTTGTGGACTGAAGCAAGGAGGAAGTTGGCATTGAGAAGAAAGGATTCACTCCTTTGTATTCAGTTGTTTACATTTAGAAAGAGCAGAACTGATTAACCATAATTTAAAACCATGGCCAATGTGCAAAGCAGGTCCATCTTACTGGGATCCATGTTATTTTCTGCTTACCTGGGGTTAGGTGTCAGATTCAAGTAGCTTGAGTCTTTGCTCTTTCTGGCAAAACACTGCATTTTTCATAGGAAAATCCAACACCTTGTGTTTCTGCTGCATGATGAAATTACAGAAGATTCTTTCAGAAGGATCTTGTATTCTGTTTCGTCTTCTCATTCTGTGTGAATGAACTTCAGCCAAGGTCAATGTACAGCTGGATGCAGGAAGATGCAGGGGGGCACAGAAAGAGCTGGCACAGAATGTGTCCAGTGCTTTTCCTTCTGTTGTCTCTTTCAAAAGACAACCTTGAATCAGTAGATCACACCACTTCCAGGCTATGCTTGACACAAGTTCAAGCACTTTGCTGCCTGCTCAGAATGCCGGTTTTCTCTATCTTTTCTCTGAGTCCTGCAGTCCTGAAATAGAGCATCTTGCCTACAACTAGCGTGTAACACGACTGTAGCTCTACTCCT